TTTTTTTTTGGAGGGGGGATTGGAGGTCCACTGCCTTATGGAGACCTCATTGTCAAGTATTTTGAGCCATTTGTGATGTTAACTAATGCCAGGCTTACGAGAGCCGACCTGGAGCATTGTGCTGCCTGGGCCCTCGCCGGAGGTGTCCCCTTTCCAGCCTGGCAGCTTCAACTGCCCCCACCCGTCCTGGTGTCAGGGTTAGAGTGCCTCAAGTACCACATATCACCCCCTTAAGCTCAGACCTCCTGTTTAGCCAAGAGCAGGCCAGCATGCTGCTAGCTGACCCCCTGTGGATGCAGGTAGACTTAATGTGACACATATCATCATCCACCACCGTAGGGAGCTGGGTAAGGAAGGCAGGTGTGGGGAGCTGGTGTGAGAGAGGTGGGGGGCCAGGGCCGGACTCTTTTGTCCAGGGCAGCTAAAATCCCTCCAGCCCCCTCCCTCTCAGACATGTTCAACATCCCCCACCCTGACCAGAACCCTTCGACCCTCCCTCAGCAGTGATGGATAACCAGCACACGCGCTTGGCGTGCTCAAGCTGCACTTAAGGGGGTGGGCTAGTGGGAGACAAGGAAACATGGATCAAAGATGAAGAATTGAGGGTACTAAGGCCATTGTTTTTTTGTTTTCATCTCACTGGATCGCGCTGCACTTAATTACTGAGTTTGCGTAGCAACTTTGTTTACATGCATATGAAAGGATGTTGTGGCTGTCTGGTGTACCCCCACTCCACTCCCGGTTCTGGGGTTGAATGGGTAACAGGATGATGGAACAGATGCTAGAACGGCTACGGGTGTTGCTCAGGCCTTAGCCACTGGCCAAATCTGTCACGGCAGGCTGGTTCGCCGCTCATCACCAGACCTATGGGTGTTTAAGCTCCCCTAAGCTTGAGAGGATCATGGGTAATATAGCTATAGCCTTTGACGCACTGCAACCCCCATAACCCCCCTGCACCCTGTTCTCTGCTGATACTCCCTTCAGCAATCTGTGAAAAGCAGTTATTCCATGTTGGGCAGATGGAGGAGAGCTTGCTGGGCTGAGAGCCCAGCACTTTGGTTTCCATGGTGGACACCAGTTTTAAAATCATGCTGCTCCATTAAAGCTTTTTAATGTCACATGAGATGTTTTGAGATTGGTCTATATTTCAGACGAGAGATGATCATCTCGTCTCACTGCTTTTGATGTATTTTATGGTCACACTGCTAGATTTTCCTCATCTTTCCACTCATATCCATTTTGCCCTCTTCATCCTTTTTTTTTTTTTTTTTTTTTTTTAAAGAGGATTTTTAGTCTGGTGATCCAACCCAGTTTTTAACAGAATTTAATTCTTCTGGGGCTTCGAAAAATGAAAACAGAAAAAAACCCAAATTCCCCTTGGACACCTTTTCGACTTTGCTACTACCACCTGAAATGGTTTAAAGTCCTCAGTTGATGTTAACTATTTCAATGGCATCCATTCAGCTTGTGCGCACGTAGATTACAAAAATGGTTGTGAGAGTGCTTTGAGTAGTCAGAGGTAAAATAGCACATAAATGCACTAAATGTTGAAGTTGTGCGACATTTTTTTTGAGACGCGAGGAGTCTCTCCTGGAATGTATTGCCAAACTCAGGCCTCAGACATTCAATAAATAACTCTTATGGAAACGTTGTGCATGTTAAGATATGAAACAGGAAGGGAACAGCAGTTTCGTTGTTGTTGTTGTCAATACTGTCATCGATTAGTTGAATTATTGCCACTTTCACATTTGAGGTGTTTTACATATTGTAGAATGTATTGTAACTGTACAACAAATGGTAGAGTACATAACATTACACATGGGAAGTGCCAATAATTTCTATGCTGAGGTGTTTTGTTTCCTTTTTGTTTTTCAGACGTATTACTTTTTTGTATTTCATCTTTTAACATGGATAATGCTTTTTTGTAAGTGAAGCCATTTGTGATGGGAGTGTTGGCAAGGACCAAAGTTGTTCTGGTAAAATTATTAGTTTCCATGATCTGTGACTGTAGACGTATCCTTTGTTTGGTTTTTTTTGTTTGTTTGTTTTTTTCTTTTCTTTGTTTTCTTTTTTCTTTTCTTTTTTCTCCGTTCATTCTTTTCTGTTTTTTTTCCCTTTTTTTTTTTCCTTCTATTTACGTATAAAACTAGAAAATAAACAAAAAAATCTGAGCTTACCCAAGAAGAAAAGCTGTATCTTGTGATTTCATGTCAGTACATCTTTATCGTGTTCAGTTTATTTTTCCTTGGGTATGTTGTGATGAACTGCTGTAAATTTGTACAGTTCATGTAAATTGATTGTGCGGAAGTTGTACAGATTTCTATATTTTGGAAGAAAAGTTTGTTTTTTTTTCTCTGTAATAAAAGATTTCCTATCTTGGCATCATAATTCCCTTTTGAATTGTGTCATCATTTACTTCTGTACTCACTTTACATTTCAAATTGGGGACAGGGGTGGGGAAGACATATTAATACAGACGTTAATCAATAAAATAAAAGCTTCTACGTGACTGAATGAAGCAGGAGCAATATAAACTAAGCCCTGATGCCGTGCCGTCGCTCAAGCCAGATTGGTAGTTGACCTACAATGCTTTAAAGACTGAGCCATCTGTACCAAGAGGACTGGAAAGAAGAGATCAAGTAAGCAATTCTCTTGCCTCACTAACGGTTCTGTCTCGGGACAGTGAGCTGCACTTTGTATAAAGAGATTTCAGCTCACTGATTTTAAAAACATGAAAAGCCACTGTCTGACTTTAATCAAATTGGGCTCATTTGGTGCCACAATTTAATGTTTTAACTGTTGTGCAACATATAAACATGGAAAACTGAGAAAAGCTGGGTGGCGTTGAGTAATGTTGCAGTACACCAATATTTACAATACTACTGCACCCAAAACAGCTGACTCTGCGAAACCCTGAGTTTAGATTAAGACTGCAATCCTTTTCAACACTGAATCCTCCAGGTTGCTTAGCAGCAGGCGGAGAAAGAAAAACATGTGGCTTATTTTGACACAAAGGAGGGAACTAGAAGAGCGGGTTAGGCAAGAGACAAGGACACAAGAGAGGAAAGGTGACTGGGCTTGTGTTACTTCTAAAAACGCTGGCTAGCACAAGGCCTCAACAGCCGGAGAGCTGGGAGTGATATTCGAAATTACTGGGCAACGTTAAGGAGAAAAAGTTCAGTTATATTCAGGACCAGTTGTTTTCTTCACATATTATCTGATCTAAACAGGTCAAAGATTCCCAGGGCGTGCCTATCTATAAGGCCCAGAGTCGTTTGTTTTGTAGGGTTCAAGTGAAAAAGAGGACATTGAACAGTAAGACACAGAGCACAAGTGATTCAGATTTATCGGGATTTTGCAATGCTCCCTGGGCAAGGTTTCGCAATGACTCATTTGAGCAAGCTGTTTTGAGACATTTTCTATCCATGAAAACAAAACAAAACAAGAAGTAGATTAGAGAAGCAGTGTTTGTGTGGAAAATATTATCTTATAGTCTCATGGATAATATAAATTTGACAGCTAGAATATAACAGCCAATTTTAAACGTTCAGTTAAAATATTTCTGTAATTCACTGATGTGGAGCAAATTCTGAAGTTGTTTTAAACCGTATGTAAATTTAGAGATTTGATTCATGAACACTTTTATTCACTTTGCTCAAACTCTATTGCATCTTATGTCAGAATCTCATCAAACTATCGTCTAAGAATTGCGCTGGAGTTTCACCTTGACACTGATGAAACAACAGTGTAATATTTTCTGCCCTCAACTCTTACTGACATAGCAACAGAGGTTACCATGTGAAGAGGGTTTCAGAGTTTGCTGCTGATTACGAAAGGTAAGGCTATGATCCAATGACAAACAAAGGCAGGCTACATCATTTATGTAAAGTTACTGACATAAAATATTAATACTTAATCTTCTTATTCTCTGACCCGTACCAAAGTACAGCGCTCAACAATGGCAGTATTTATGTACACTAAGCCTG